AGGCCACTCAGTGCCTGCCTGACTCAGTGTCTGTCTGTCCGTCTGTCTGTCTGTCCGTCTGTCTGTCCATCTATGTATCTATGGCTTTTCCCGGTAGTAGGGGCGTGTGCATGTGGGCGATGGAACCGTAGCGTGTCGCTGGCTGCGTGTTTTTCCGTGTTCATGACTGTAGACACACCTATGGTTGCTTGATAGCGATCAATTAATGCCTTCCCGTCTGTGTCTTGTCGTTGTCGATCTGGCTGGCTGTGGCCAAGAATCGTTCGTTTGATCACCAGCCGCTCGAGCCATTGTCACAGATCCATGTGCGTGTGTTCTGTCAGCTCACTCATTGCATCGTCCATTCCATACATGCCTGTCTGTCTGTCTGTGTCTGTCCATCGGTCTACGCCTCTTGTGTCGGCCACAGAGCGCAGACTGCGTGTCGCGGATAGAACGAGACCAAACTGTGCACACACACACACACACACGCACACACACGCAGTGCAAGAGATGGACTGCCCACTGAGCCCTCTGGTCAAATGCTTACTTGTGGAGTCCGTCGATTTGCTGCCGCACTGGCAACGCTGATGACGCCCCGCGCAGCTTCGACGACGGAGAAGCGCCAAGACGCACCAACCCAACTCCATCTGACACCGACGTACATCACATGCCCCCGTCTATTTGTGTTTGTCTGTGTGCGTACTGCCGATGCCGCTGTCGTGTGCAGTCTGCCTGGGGTGCATCTTGACCACAAGTGCATCGTCACTGATCGAAGACATGCACACACACACACCGGGGAAAGATGGATCGATGGCTGTAGCATCCGTGTGTCACCGACCGCGTGAGTATTTTGTATGTCGCGAGCAGGTCGGCCAACTCGACGCCATTCGTCAGGTACGCCAAGGCCAAATCGTGGCGGCGGAAACAGTAGCTGTGCGAGGCGATCTCAGACCAATGCCTTTGCGTCAACGACCCATAAAGCAGAGAGAGAGATGGATGGAGACACGACGCCCGCTTGTGTGTTTGTGTCTGTGATGACTACCTGTTGGTCATCTGGTTGAGGTTTGTGTCTGTCTGTTCCTGCATGATGGCCCCCTTCAACGCGTCTGTCCACTGCTGCAGCTCTGTGTCGTCCGTCGAAGCGATCCGCTCCCCCACACCAGCCAACACTTCACCTGAACACACACACACGCGCACACATTTGTTCTCACGTAAGATGCTTTCGGCGCGTGTGGCGTACTCATTCGCTGCACGACGTCTTCGGGCGAGGCTTTGCTTCCCTCCAAGTAACAGTGCAGCTTGTGTGCATACGGCGGTCTGGTCACGAGGTGTGCGCCAGCGATGTAGCCGAGCTGGGATTGTGTGCGCAGGGTGTCGTAGAGAGACTGGTGCACGAGCTGGGAGAGGATGCTCAGGTGAACTCCTTCCTCGATGCCCAGGTAGGGGTACTGATAGACCAGCAGGCTTGCTCCATTGACGTCGTCTGCATTTGGATGAGACATGAATGTTTCCCCATTGACAAGTGTGTGTGTGTCTGTGTGTGTGTCTGTCTCTCTCACTCTGAATGGGGTTCGAGGCCTCCACGCTGATATGCTGTCCTCGCAATTGGGCCACAGCTAACTCGGCGGCGTCGGCAGGTGGGAGTGGGTGGCTCACGCCGATCGTGTGTGCGAATGCCGTGATGACGTCCGCACTCTCGGCCTCATTGAGATTCCCACAGCTAGGCGACACACACAAAGACGGAAGGGGACAGACATGACGAGAAAGGTCTGTGTGAATGTGTATGTGCGTGTGTGTGTGTGACCTCAGCGCCTCGAGAGTGAGTCTGTCCATCTGTTGGCTGACGGTCTGCTGCATCTGCTGAGTGGCTTCTCCCGCACTGCTCAGGCCACTGAGGAACGCCGCCAGCTCGGATCGGTGGAACGATTGACGCACACTGATGGCCTCGGCTATCTGTGCACATCACATACCCACATGCAACACGTGGATGGATCCATGTGTTGTGTGTGGGTAAATGCACTCACTTCGCCGGCGGACTGGACGGCCAGTCCTGTGTTGACGTCGCGCAGGTCAGAGAGGAGCGCACTCAGCGCACGCGACACGGACGAATCTCCAGCCGTGGTGTGTGCGGTGGCGAACGCCTTTGCGGTCGCATTGACGAGATGAGGCATCTGAAGTGCGTACGCTGTGAACCGGAAAGTCCACCCCCTTTGGTGGCTGTACGTGACACGCGCGGTGGCGCCGCACTGTCGCAGGTCAGCCAGGTCAATGTCGAGGGCGTCACCGAGGACATACTCATACAGGCGGCTCAATGACGACACACGCAATGCAGCCTGCATCCATGACCAACACACAAAATGACATACGTATGGTCTCTCTATCATGCTGGTGCAGTCGCTCACCTCGTCTGAGTCGATCTTGGGAGTCTGGAGGGACACGACCACATCTGCCTTTGGTGTGAGCACCGTGCGTGTATTCTTTGCCGATGGCTGCCCCTGCCACCACAGTGTAGCGCCGTCGACGTTGATGCGTGAGGGCCCATCTCGGCCTGCCGTGCGAGTGAGTGGCTGTTGTGTCAGCTGGGGGATGAAGCGGAGCGGGGGAGGGACTGAGAGTGGCTCGCTCGAGGCACGCCAGGTGGCGATGACATCGGGAGGAACGGGGGAGATGGCAAACGACACCCTGCATTTGTGACAAATCCATCAGTTTATGTCGATATCTCTCTCTGTGCATGTGTGTGAGTGGCCTGACTTGTAGTGTGGGTCCGTCATGCAGGGCGGCGACAAAGGAGAATAGCATCGAAACTCACCTGCATTCACCACACACACACACACACACACAAACATAGAAGCTGTGTACACAATGTCTGGCTTCGTGGCTTCGTGGATGATGCGCACGGTCTGCAAATGCGATGTTGGCCTTCTCGGGCGTCATGTGTGTGTGCAGCACATCCATCAGCAGCTCTGTGTCGGGCACATCCATGAGTCCGTGCACATCTGCCAGCAGGTCCCTCGGCGGCACATGTGGGTAGGACAAGGACTCAGCGAGACGCCACGCATCAGCACCTATACCATTCACCGGGACAGTGCGAGTGTCTTCACGTGTCTCTTCCGTGTCTTACTTATGTCCGTGCTCTTGTCGGTCCAGGCGAAGTCGACTGACGACATCTGGGCCAGAGTCGCAACCAACACGTACGGCTATCTTGAGGGACCTGCACACAACGCACTCGTGGCTGAGCTGCACATGGGCAACAGCATCTCACACACAACAGAACTATGTGTGTGAGCCCACACAAACGCACCAGCCGTGCGCAGCGGCCAGCTGCAGCATAGCAAAGCCCTCATCGAGAGCAATCCTCTGGCAGGCGAATGAGCCTCCGATGCACCCACCTTCCACACGCTGGGCGGCCATAAGCTGCTCATCCACACACAACACAATTACGGTCAAGGCCCATGTTTTTCGCGTGTATCGTTAGCTACCCTTCTGTGACAGAGATGATGGTAAGTTTGTTGTGGGGCAGTAGTTCCTAGGCACTCCCCTTGGCGCAATGCGGCCATCTCTGACACACACAGACACAAAAGCGCATCAGCCGCATAGATTTGGGCCAAGAGAGCTCTCCTGGCTGCGTGTGCGGCCTTCCCATGAGCCTCTCTGCTGCTGATCTGTGCGCTTGGGGCGCTGCCTTTCTTCCGCAGCACGTCTAAGCTCGCAGGTTTGGAACCCTGCGACCGGGAGGCTTTCTCCCATTGCAAGGGGGCCGGGCGGCGGCTGGCGTGCTCAGCGAAATCCTAAGGGGGCGTGGGGTGTGCGAAATTGGTGAATGCGGCGTGTGCAGCAGCACATAGCGCGCACCCCCACAGCCAGGTTTATCGGAGAGAGAAACAGCCGTCTGCCTGTGTGTGCACAAGCACTATATTCGCCCCTTCAAGAGAGAGTCACGTGTCGAGCACACTCCTGCCGTCATTCTCACACCCCAGTCGCCCCCACACACCCACCCGACGCTGAGAAACACATGGGCAAGTGGGTGCACATCTGGCGGTGTGTACCAAATCAACTCGATCAACACAACCAAAGAGCATCAGGCCATCGATCTTGTGTGTATACATACCGCCTCCAACTGAAGGAGCATTCCGGTCGTAAAGCAGGCACATACCTAGCTCCACTTGTCTTCGGTGGGCAAATCACTCAACGAACCACCGATCTCTGCACACACACACACAACGGCCTCAAGCAAGAGCATTGAAAGAGCGTCGAGTGTCGAGCACTCACCGGCCGTCATTCTGATGCCCCAAACACCGGGCCCCACACGTCCACTCAGTCAGTCACACCACCAAAGGGCTTTGACCGGTGTCTGTCTGTGAATCGCCCTTCGTTCTTCGTCTGTCAGGCTCTTGCGCCACGTCCCCCAGCTCATCGACCCACAGATAATCTCCTGCAGACGTGGGCAGGTCGCTGTCTGTCTCTCTGGCTGTCTGTCTGTGGCTGTCTGATTTACCATCGCACAGCAGAAGTCGTCTTGGGGCATGCTGAGACAGATCGACTGGCCGACACATGGCCTCATGAAGTTGTGCTCAGCTGATGGATGTCACACACACACACACACACACACACACATTCAGAGAGAGAGAGAGAGAGAGGCAGAGAAGACTGACACGCTTGACGATGCGCGCGAGAACCAATCCCCCCCC